AGAGAGAAATTCTATTAAAAGTGTTTTAGTAATTTTGTTACCTAAACTTTACTTCTTCTTTTGTGTGCTGTTTGTATTAAAAAAACATTTCTAAGTACAACAACTAGCTAATTTTCGGAGAAGCTGTCCTTCCACGGAAAATCGCTGCTCCCTTGTAGCAAGATTTTGCTTCCAACTTCAGATCTAAGAAGATGTAGAAAATATACCAAGATTGCCTTTTGAATCAATCAAAATGAACTTAGATTAATATATTAGGGCAATGACATAAAGATAATTTTTTTATATCAAATTTTTATAAAATTTTCATATGTTATTAAAATAGATATGTGCATTTTAATATTACGGATATACGTTAAATAAATAAAAAAATTAATTATTTAAATGACTTATAAAATTATAAAAAAATATAAAAAGATCGTTCATAAATTATTTTCTAATATATTATTACATAATTTTTTTTATCAGCAACATATTATTACATTATTATTGGTCAATCTGTCACAAATATTAAGAAATGAAAGGAAAAGAAAAGTTATTGATTTGTAAATTTGGTACAAAATATTATCCAAGTCAAGGCCTGAGATAAATCCATCTTCAGGAACCTAAAAAACTAAAGCAGGCATAAGAAAGAAGAACTACTCCTGAGTGTGTCCACAATTTTGCAGGAGGTAAAATGACCATACAATACCTAATATATAGTACAGTAGTGAAAGAGGCCATGCTTAAAAACCAAACCTCTTAAAAAATAGCGTCACCTACTACCCTTTGGGACAGCATGTGGTTTGCATCTCATGTCTCGGGTTCAATACTCTCCCTACAGATTAATCCCTCTAACACACTAACAACTCTAACCATTGCTTTTCTAAAAAAAAAAAAAACCTCTTAAAAAATAAAAGCATATGGGGCAATTGAAACGTGGTCAACATGTCAACCAAAGGAAAAAAAACCTCCACCAGAACCCTCCTGCTGCAGGAACATATCTCAGGCCTAAGCTTCCATCCATTTCTCTTGATCTAAACATATTCTTGAAACATTATGTGTAACAAAGTTATGGAAAATAGAAGTTATTCTGCAAAGGAGCGGAAAATTAAATACGTTAACAAGCTCTACAAACTTATTAATTTCTTATGTTCTCCAATCTATGGGTGAATTTCAATGTATGCTGTCAATGTGGTCACACGGACCGCTGCAAAGCCAGCCGTATGCTCTTCAAAAGATCCTTCGTTGTCATTGAAAATTCATCCTCCATCTGCATTTTTATTAGTAGCACTGATGATTACACTGCTTGTTTACAAATAGATGATTGAATATTGAGAATGCAGCTATATATGAAATTAATTACCTTAGCAGCAATGGTGATATTGAGGGTAGCACGTCCAAATGGCAAGACATTACTACTGACCACAGAAAGGTTAAGCCTTTCGATCTCGTTCAGTACATTCACTAGACATCCTTTGTTTTTCTCGCAGTGGATTCTAATTAGCACGTCTCTTTCTGATATTCTAGTTTCAATTTCAGGAAGAGATGTTGAGTGGTTGACTTGGCAGCTGTTGAAGTTCTCGTCCGATAAAGATGACTCATCCTCTGCATAAATTTTAATTTTCTTCACGAAGATTGCTGATTCCACTGTCTTCTTTGCTGCTTGTTCCTCGAGGATTTTCACTCGCTCTTGAATTTGTTTCACATACTTGATGGCATCTGCGAGGATTGTAGCCTTGTCTGCCTGCAGAGATAAATGTCCAAATCCTATCATCGTTAGCAAAATTCGATTGATCTTGGAATTGTACTAAATTGCTTTGACCTGAAATAGCTTGTGTCAGTAACATGTACCTTCTTGAGGCTAGGAAGAAGAGCTGAGAGAGCCATGTACAGCTGATTAATCTTTTCTCGGCGCCTTCTTTCAGCAATCACATGATCTTGAGCATGAAGAGGATTTCTACTCAATGAACCAACCTTCTTGGTACCCTGCAGCTAGCACATATTTGTTTCATCAATATCAATCCTCAATTGATTCAAGATTTCAAAAGATGGTAACTTCAAATTAAAGTTTTTAGGCTCACCTCATTTTTAAATGTAACAGTGCAACCTAGATCACCATAATACTGCTGGGAGGTAGCCGGAGATGAATTTGAGTTGTCAAAGGAGATTATCTGGGAGGATGCAGAGGCAGAAGGCTCTGATGTCATCTGTTCCTTGACGCAAGAGTACTCCCAGGTGCTGCTATTTTTGGTCTTGAGCTGCTTGGCTGGTCTTGTGATGTAATCTTCTTTGGTGAGTTGATCAGAGGCTTCATTCTTGCATGAATTAAGGATATTGGGGTCAATTATTCCCGGATTCATACTCGAAAAAGAAGAGTAGCTCTCAGAAGAAAAGGATTGGAAATTGAGATTATCATCAAATGAATAGTCCGTTTGGTATTGAGGGAAAAAAGTAGGATCCTCCATTTCCTGAAAAAAAATGAAAACCACCAAAGAAGATAACATATTTTTTTAATGAGAATTTAGATATTTTTCTGACAAACCAAACTTGGGGAAGAAGTAGTATTTAGTAAGAGGATTTACCAATTCAGATAACCATTTGCTCGCTGGGATTTCCATATTTGCAATTTTTTCTTTCTTACTGAGTGAAGATAAGGGTTTGTGGTATTTCTTCTCTCAGTTTGACAAGACAAGATCTGTGAACTTGTGTAATAATATATAGGTGTTTCCTACGGGTTTGATTTGGCAGAACAATGTTGTTCTCCTCGATAGCATGTGTGAAAAGGATGGCCATTTTTCTTGTTTCAACTGTTCCTTTGGGGGCCGGAGACGTATAATCTACTTTCGAATATTAGAAGCGAGGGGAGTTAGACTTAGACCTAGGTGTGGGCCCGAGCATGCATACCCACTCCTTCATTTATTGGTTCTCTTTATTTTGTACTTTTACTTTTTAAAATAAAATAAAAAAATAATTTAAAGATAACTTTTTAATATTATATTTTTATATGATTTTACATATTATTTAAATTATTATTATTTTTATTTATTTGATAATTATAATATTAAATGTATTTATTTATTTAATGAA